CATGATTATTCAGTAATTTCCGGAGCGGTTTTTTCAAAATCTTCAACTTTTGACATAACTGAACATTTCAAACCCTTCAACAGGAGAGCTCCAAAATTTTTCAACCGTTGGGAGAAAATCCTCCAAAAGAGTTCTCGTATTCACAAATTTAAACGGCCGAACTCTAAACTTCTTTTTGATCGGAAATCTAACAATCATCAGGCTATGATCGAAATTTCTATAAGGCTGAAAATAGCATAGGCATCCGGAAAATTCTCAATAACATTTAAAATTTCCCAAGACTCTATCTAATTTTTTAGGAACACCCTTATTTCCTCTCGGGCCTTTGGTTCCAAGTTGAAATGGAGACCATTCTTATTAATGTCTTGAACTTCAATTTGATTCTCATGCTGTAACATCCGGATTTCCAGGTATCTTATTTTAAGTATTTACCCTGAGTTTTAGGGAGGGACTCGGCGAGAGTAGGCGCTCAGACTCGCCGATAGGATCGCGAATTTGTCTGGATTAATGAGGACTCGACGAGTCGATGCGTGGTACTCGGCGAGTCCGCGCTGTAAAGTGAAACCCTAAATCTCAGGGCCTGATCCCTATTTAAAGGCTTTTCTGCCTCCATTTGTGGCCACTTCACCCTTGAGAAAACCCTAGAGAGCAGAGAGATCGTTTGTGGTGCAAGAGGAAGGCTAACTCACCATTTCTTGTGTGTTTTAGCAAGAAGGAAGGAGGTAGAACAAGCTAGGCTGATTGGGAGCTTGGATCTGTGTTGTTCACACTGAGATTCAGTTTTGAGGTACAAGTTCCTTCCCATTTGTGTATTGTAGATTCCTTGAATCTAGGGTTTCCTTTGCACATTTTGAGTTAGATTGTGAAGCATCTGAGGTCCCTTGGGTATCGATGATAGATCTGGACCTTGAGAGGTCCAAAAGGTCCAAGCTTCCAGCTTCATGTGAGCCTTGAGAGGTAAAAACCCCATTTAAATGGTTATTTCTTCATTTTTGGTCTTATAAGCATTGCATGAACGTAAAGTTTGAACCTTTACGTGACTTTCGAGTGTTAGAAGGTTGGATCTACTGGTTGGTGAAGCAGATCTGACCTCAAGAGATCTTTGGAGAAGTTTCATGGGAGGAACTCGCCGAGCCCTAAGGGACTCGACGAGTCGAGTCGGGTTGCTCCGCGACTCGCGACCGGTGACGACCCGTGGAGTATAGGGTTGACTCAGCGAGTCAAGTGCGGACCAGGGGCGAAGAGGAATGCATGTACTCGCCGAGTCACTCTAGTGCACTCGGCGAGTCCGATCAATGTTGACCGTTGACTTTAGTTAACTTTTAGGGTTAGTCAGTGTTTGGACTTATGAAGCCTTAGGGGGGTAGAATGGTCTTTTACCCTTCTTAGAGAACTTATAGAGGGGGTTGGCCTAGCCTTTAGAAGTGTATTAATTAGAGTAATTATTTATGTGATTAGGCGAAGGCTAGTGCAGTATTTCAGAGTTCGAGGTTTACCGAGTTACCCGAGGTGAGTCTTCTCACTATACTTTACCTAGGTGGTAATTAGCGTTATGTGACAGAGTATCTTGTATGCTATTTATGTGATTGTGATACACTGCATTACATTATTTCTATGTGATTCATTCCTTTGTATGTTCTAGAGTTACAGAGTTAGAACCGGAAGGTTCACAGAGTTAGGACCAGAGGGTCCACAGAGTTAGGACCGGAGGGTCACAGAGTTATAGCCTCGAGTGGCTAATATGTGTTATATGTGGTATTTTGGGAACTCACTAAGCATTTATGCTTATGTGTTGTGTTATGTGTTTCAAGTACCAGTGAGGATCGCGGGAAGGCGCCGGCATGATCAGTACACACATGAGGAGTTTTATACATTATGATATTGGGTGTGTTTTCTATGGATGATATGTGATACAATGAGATTTTTATAACATCTATGAATGAAAGTATGCTTTTAAAAATGTGAAAAATTGTTTGAAAAATTACGGTGTTACACATGCACTCATTAAATTCTACCATACCTCTTGAAAAACGAGAAGAGCCCGCTGTAGAATCTAACAGTTGCCTAGTAACATTAAAATTCCCCAATTATTAACCAAGGAAGCCCACCCACAACATCTTGTTTCTCCCAAGAGAATTCCAAAGCTTTCTTCTCTCATGTAGTAAACTACACGCATAAACAAAAGAACAAAAAAAATTCTTTTATTATCTCGAATAAACAAAACCTGGCAATGCATGACCTGATCATTCGAATCTAAAGGCATAACAACCAACTCCTCCGGGTCCCAACCAATTATAATTCTCGTGCCTTTTTGCTATACTCATGATTGGAAATCCACATCCAATTTCAAAAACAGAGTTACACGTTTTTTCCAAATTATTGAATCTAACTTGCGATTCAAGTATAGAAAAAAGAGAAAGATTATTACTACGAATAATCTTTTTTATTTCCTCTTGCTTAGGCCTTAAATTTGAACCCCTCACATTCCAGCAACCAAGACTCATCATCATTGATCAACAAAGTTGTTTTCGGTACTTATCTCCTGGGCACCACCAGTAATGATCTCCTGATCAACCTCATCCAAATATGACATATCCCTTAACCCCATTCATCAGGTAACACATCAAAGGATTTTTTGATATTATCTCATCCTGAACCTCTTTACCTGATGTAGAACCCAAATTATCAAAGTTAGAACTAACTTTAATATTCACTTGCTTCTTTGGAACATAAACCTTCCTTTGACCTTCCTCTTTCTTCCCCATCACTTCTTCTTTCTAGCATTAAAGTTGTCAATAACAGTCTTCACATTTTTCCCCAGCTTTTCCTTAGGAATAAACACCCCTGTTCCACTCGAATCCCATTTTTCCCATCAAAAGACTGAAATGCCCCTGCCACCTTTCCATCTTTTTGATCTTCCCTACAACAAACTTTGAATAACTTTCTCCATTGTTTCTACTTCCTTTTCCTTTGCTACTTTGCGGATCTTTTTGATTCTTTTTGCACTTCTTGAATACTGCTTGTTTTTCTTTGCTTTCCTTGATTACCCTTATTTTCCACAGCATTGACTGCCTGTCAACAATACTACTTTCTTTCATTGGAATAGTGCTTTGTTCCAAAGTTTTGATCAATCCAATTTTCCCATTCTCTTGAAAAACCAATTGTTACTTTTTGCTTCCGGTTTAAACAATTATGCCACATGGTTGCAGGACGATGAGACTCCAACAAAAACTACCCAAGTGGATAGTGCAGAAGTACTCGATGGAATCATAACAAGAAGCCGAGGAGAGATACGCCACACAAGCAGTCTAAAGATAACAAGTTTGACCCAAACTCCAATACAAGATATGAAGCCTATGTATAGTCCACGTCTCGCACAAAGGGTTTATAGTCCACATTTAAACGAGTTAAGGGGGTACAAATCAAGAAAAACTCCAAGTCCACGTTCATTTATCCTTGGTCAAACCAGTAATGGTTCATCGTCTTGCTAAAAAAATAGTTGTGTGCTTATGTTCAAATCATGATTTTGTAGGTGTTATGTTTCTTTATAATGTATGTACTTTGTGGAAAGAGTGTACATTTTCTCTTTATTATCTAATTTCATGTATGTATGCATAGGTGGGCAGAAAACATATTACCAAATTTATAATGGAATAAAAGTTTTATATATGAATACTATATGCACTTTGTATTTGGATATTTGGATCAAGATTCATGTTATGACCTTCTTGAAGCTAAAAAAGGGCTAAAGTCATGTAATACCCATCAACTATTCCAATGTTTTTGCTTGAGTCGCCAATCATAGGTCACTAAACATTTAAAGTGTTTTCAATTACATAATTAAAGAAATTTTTTAAAAGAGTAAACATGTATTCAATCCTATGGCATCTTGCTAGCAAAACATGTTCAATGTAGAAGTGAATAACGGTTTACTCGGTTAAAACTTTCTTCAACGATGTAACTGAAAATACATTATATGTTTAGTGACTTGTTAAAACCGACATGCCAATAAAAGATCATGAATACTCGGTTTATTTCAAGATAATTGGTGTTTTGTTACCTTAAGAGGAATAACATCAAAGTCCAATTATATACCAAAGGGAGGAAGACACCCACAAAACTAGTAAAAAAGCTTGTACTACTACATTTCCTTTTCATTAAACCGAACTTTATATCAAGATAATAGGTTTCCTTTTTTTATTTCATATCACTAAAGCAGACAGAAAGATACAAAATGTAACATCACCATCTATTGAAATGATGAACTTGGAAAAGGGACATGAAGGTGGCCCTTCAAGTGGCTTGGGATGAATTGAAGGGTGCAATGGTATGTACTTTACCATTCTTTTGTTGCTATAACAAAATGAATGTTTTGATCGATGTTCTTTTTCAACAAAACTTACCATGATTCATCTTTGATTGAACCCCTTGTGCGTCATAATGAATAATACCATTCAATCCCCACCAAAAGTTTTAGTTGAATGATTTGATAAATGAGGGTACATTTGTTAGTGGAATACAAAGGATTCATTCCACTACATATTATCAACTAGCTCAACTTGTACCCTTATGTTCTTTAATATATAAAATCATAAAAGATACGCCACATGGTTGCAGGACGATGAGACTCCAACAAGAACTACCCAAGTGGATAGTGCAAAAGTACTCGATGGAATTATAACAGAAGCCGAGGAGAGATATGCCACACAAGCAGTCTAAAGATAACAAGTTTGACCCAAATCCAATACAAGATATGAAGCATATGTATAGTCAACTAAACAATACAAGATATAAATACAAAAGGTTTAGGGTTTTTTTTTTTGGATAAAAGGGATTACCCTTGGCAAATATTATTAATAAAAAAAGATTACAAAAGAAAGTAGGGCAAACGCCCAAGAAAAAAATAATAATAAGACCAAGCTAAGGGACAGGCCCCAAAGCAAGGTAAAACAAGCAAAAGCAAAGAACTAGCTAAACAAGACCTAAAACATCAATCCTGGTCAACTGGAGAAGAGATATGGCCACCGTGAGAGGAAATCGGATGTGTATCGGAAGATTGGAGGGTATCTCTTGGGAGGGTGACAGGAGGGATGTAGAATCATCTTCAGTGTCGTTAGTTCTTTGATGCGAGAGAGTATCAAAATGTTGGACGACACATTCTTTTCTTAGGATCACGATGATTGGCTTGTAGACTTGAGCGATCTTTAGAGCGGGCCCTTTATCTTTACGATTATCGGTTTGAACCTTCTTTTTAGGGATAGGAATTGCTCTAGTTCTTCTTTTGACCGTTTCAAAACCTTCTTTGTCAACATCTTTCGGAATGGGCGTGGCCGTCTTTTGGACGGGAGGGCTAGTGAGAAGGGCAAGTGGCGTGGTCGTGACCAAACTTTTTGCATGGTCACATCTCTTAGGGTTCCAAGAGTACTCCACACGGAGGGAGGTAGAGGTTGCGCCTTTAGCCGTGAACGCTTTGATTTTTATTTCTTTAGCCCAAGGAGCATTAGCCGACATTTCAATGAGAATACGAGCATAAACCGCTCTATCCGTAGCCCGCTCACACATGATTGTGGTGTAAGAGTCAACCTCCAAAGGCTTCCCAAGTTTGCTTGCAATGAGACTAAGACCATATTTATTAAATAGTTGGAGAGGGATGCCAAAATATTAACCCAAACGGGGACCCGATCATGAGATGGTTTTTCAATAAAAACTTCCGCGTCCCATTTGTGGAGAAAGAGCGGTATACCGTTGATCTTCCAAATACCTTTTTGAAGAACATAATTCAAACCTTCATCATTTTCAAATTTAAAAAAGAACACATCGTCATCGTTAATAAAAATGTCACAAAGACCATGTTCCTTCCACATATCTTGAGTTCAACTTTTAACGAGCTTGAAACCAAGTCTATCTCCCACAAAATAACCATATAAAGTTCGTTCGTAAGGGGCACTACCATTCTCCATTATAGCCGAGGGAATTAAGATGTGATCATCTTCTAACATGTCAATATTATTGATGAAATCAAGAGTGAGAGGCTTTGAATTTAAAGTCTCACAAAAACTGCATCACATGGTTTATCGACAGGGCAGGCGTCCACTAAAGGGGCTGGAATGGGCTCAATTACATGTGGGCTATTACTACCCTTAAGAATATCAGCAAAGGAAATAGAGGCCTGGACATACCTGGGCTATTAGGCCCAAACGAAAGCTGAGATGGATCAAAAGATTCTTTGGGCGCCAAAATAGAAGAGGAGAGGGAGTCAAGGCGCGTGGCCGGCAGAGGAGAGGAAACAGGAGCAATAAATGCCCCATCCCCTAAAAAGGAGTGACAATTAATGCGCATGGTAGGTTCCTCACGTGATGTACCACCCTTACCAACTTTATCTCTAGTATGGGCGGCTGAAAAATCGGACCCACCATCCAAGGAGGGTTGACTTTCCCCACTTAAAAAATCAACCGTACCCTTGGGAGAAGGCAACGACGCAGGGTTCTTTTCGACGCATGCAGAGATATCTTTCCCTAAACAGTCACCAATCGATTTCGGGGGGCGATTGGCAGCGTCGCATGGGTCAGCCGGCGACATAAATCCGGCCGCAGAGGCGGCAGATTAGCGTCTCCGGAAGAAACGCGATCCAGATGATGAAGATGAAGAGTTCCTGTGGTTCCTACAATATTTTGAACTTCATCATTGAATTCTGATTCACCATTCGCAACAGGAACCATGAAAGAAACTTCCTCGTCTCCAGAAATAGAACCATCATCGGTAGCTACAAAAGAGATTTCCAGGTCACTTTCGGAACAGAAACAAAACCGGACCTGCATCTTCATCTCCTTCTATGGCAAAAACGATGTTAGAACAAGGGGTAGGAGAACGTGCAACTGCAGAACGAAATCCTGGGGCTGCTATGACACTTTCAACGATAGATCCATGAACGAAATCATCATCTTTCACGTTAGATCCATGAACGAAATCAGAATCTTTCACTAAAGGGAGATGGGACTGGTCATGAGAGAAAGCTTCATCACCTTCCTTCACTCCCTCGTTGAGAGCAGCCTCATTGAGGGAACTTTCAGCGGGGATGATAGGAGAGCCAGAAAAGAATAACATTTTGTTGCTATGATTGCTATCACAAAACTCAGAAGAAGCTCCAGAACTCTCAGTCTCCATTGGAATCAGGAACACCAACAGTGATATCTTCCTTGATAGGACTTTCTTCAAATGAAAAAGACTCCAGAGCTCCATGACCACCATAATTGATTTTGCATTTTCCAAGCTTTTTGGAGGATCTTGAAGACCTGCGATGTTGACCCATAATCTAACTAATCTAATGAACAAAAAAACCCAACAGATTTGAACAGATTAAGCACGAAAAAACCAAGAACCAACAAGAACAATCAATCTCCAAAGGAAGATCCTAGAGAGAGAAAGTGTTCCATGGGGTTTTTGGGTTTAGGGTTTTTTTTTTTTTTTTTTTTTTTTTGGATATTGGCTAATAAACTCAAATTAAACAACTTGAACAATTTTTTTAAGTCTTTATGCTTAGGAGACAGAACAAATCCCCTAAAAAACCAACCTCCAAGACTAATCATCATTGAGACCTGCTTCCATGTTGGTGTCAATCACAAATCATCATTGAGACCTGCTTCCATGTTGGTGTCAATCACAGGGACACCTCCAAGAACATCCATTTGATCCACAGTATCCAATAAGCAAGATAGCCTCATCAATACCTTTCTTCAAATAAACAAATTGATTCTCATCACCCAAATCATTTAAAACAGCAAACTGATTATTAAAAAAAGACTTCACAGGAACAGCACCCTTAACATTTTGATAGCTCTTGTCAAAATTCGAACTTATTTTGAAATCCATTCCAAATTTTGGAATATAAGAGCGCATATTAACTTCCCTATTATTCGTTCCCTCCCTATTATTCTCCTGTAACTCTCAATTCTCGGCCATACTTCCCAAATTACCCTTATCAGCCATAACGACACCTGAACCACTTCCTTTATTCACCATAAAATTAGTTTTACTATTTTGCCCCTGTTCAAAATTAGATCCAGCCCCTCTTCCATTCAAATTCTTACTTTTCCCATTATACCCCTGCATTCCTTTTCCTTTACTTCCTTGATTTTCTCCATTGGAAAAATCCGATTTATTATTATTCTTCCTATCCCCTGATTTCCACTGCCAAACCCATTCCAGTTTTTCCCATTACTCTGAGATTTCCCATTTTGCCCCTGCCGCATATTTTGACTTATCTGCCCTGTTTCAGCCTTCGACTTTTCCCCAGCAGCATTCCCTTTATTTTTCTTACTGACAGTTTGAAATCTTTCACCATCTAACTCAGCTTTTTTTGTGTTAGCCATTAAAATTTGCATTAAATCAACTTTAACTCCCTCCTTATTTTCCTCCACTTTACTGTTATTTTTCGATATCTTTAACCTGTTTCGCTAGCAAAATTCCACAATTAGAATCTTTATGCCCATAAACTTTGCAATGAGAGCATTTTGATGGATTCCAAGCATATTCAATCCTACATTTCGACAATATTCTTTCACCTGTGGTTAAATCAGACGAATAAACTTGCACTTCTTTAAGCCAATCCTTAGAAGCTGACATTTCAATCAAAACTCGCATAAATGCAGGCCTTCCCCAATGATCTTGACACATGCTAGCAGTCTGAGCATCCACATCTAAAGGTTTGCCAATTTCCCAAGCAATATGGCTAAGCCCTGTTCCATTCCAGTATTCAAGAGGGACATTAAAATTTTTAACCCAAACCGGAACTTTGTCATGTTGACCCTTAACAGAACTCACACCTGTAGTCCATCTTCTAACCACAAGGGCACTATAAAAAATCATCCAAACACCTCCTTCCAAAACTGAAATCAATCCTTGCTCAGAACTAAATCTGAAGAAATAAACTCCCTCATCATTAACCATGACTTCCTCTAACCCATGTTTTTTCCACATGTTATGAGCAAATTTGTTAACATTGAAAAAATTGACATGTTTATCAATGAAGTACCCATACAAAGTTGTTTTAAAAGGGCTACAACCTTTTAAAATATCACCATAAGGCATCTCTACAAATCCATTTGGAAGGCTGGGATCCTTCTTGATGACAGAGATCAAATTAGCAGCATTTAGCTTCTTCCCACTCACCTTCTCTGCATACGAAACTTGCTCCCCCATTATAATGGAGCGGATTCTATAATGGGGGAGCAAGTTTCGTATGCAGAGAAGGTGAGTGGGAAGAAGCTAAATGCTGCTAATTTGATCTCTGTCATCAAGAAGGATCCCAGCCTTCCAAATGGATTTGTAGAGATGCCTTATGGTGATATTTTAAAAGGTTGTAGCCCTTTTAAAACAACTTTGTATGGGTACTTCATTGATAAACATGTCAAATTTTTTCAATGTTAACAAATTTGCTCATAACATGTGGAAAAAACATGGGTTAGAGGAAGTCATGGTTAATGATGAGGGAGTTTATTTCTTCAGATTTAGTTCTGAGCAAGGATTGATTTCAGTTTTGGAAGGAGGTGTTTGGATGATTTTTTATAGTGCCCTTGTGGTTAGAAGATGGACTACAGGTGTGAGTTCTGTTAAGGGTCAACATGACAAAGTTCCGGTTTGGGTTAAAAATTTTAATGTCCCTCTTGAATACTGGAATGGAACAGGGCTTAGCCATATTGCTTGGGAAATTGGCAAACCTTTAGATGTGGATGCTCAGACTGCTAGCATGTGTCAAGATCATTGGGGAAGGCCTGCATTTATGCGAGTTTTGATTGAAATGTCAGCTTCTAAGGATTGGCTTAAAGAAGTGCAAGTTTATTCGTCTGATTTAACCACAGGTGAAAGAATATTGTCGAAATGTAGGATTGAATATGCTTGGAATCCATCAAAATGCTCTCATTGCAAAGTTTATGGGCATAAAGATTCTAATTGTGGAATTTTGCTAGCGAAACAGGTTAAAGATATCGAAAATAACAGTAAAGTGGAGGAAAATAAGGAGGGAGTTAAAGTTGATTTAATGCAAATTTTAATGGCTAACACAAAAAAAGCTGAGTTAGATGGTGAAGGATTTCAAACTGTCAGTAAGAAAAATAAAGGGAATGCTGCTGGGGAAAAGTCGAAGGCTGAAACAGGGCAGATAAGTCAAAATATGCGGCAGGGGCAAAATGGGAAATCTCAGAGTAATGGGAAAAACTGGAATGGGTTTGGCAGTGGAAATCAGGGGATAAGGAATAATAATAATAATAAATCGGATTTTTCCAATGGAGAAAATCAAGGAAGTAAAGGAAAAGGAATGCAGGGGTATAATGGGAAAAGTAAGAATTTGAATGGAAGAGGGGCTGGATCTAATTTTGAACAGGGGCAAAATAGTAAAACTAATTTTATGGTGAATAAAGGAAGTGGTTCAGGTGTCGTTATGGCTGATAAGGGTAATTTGGGAAGTATGGCCGAGAATTGAGAGTTACAGGAGAATAATAGGGAGGGAACGAATAATAGGGAAGTTAATATGCGCTCTTATATTCCAAAATTTGGAATGGATTTCA